TAAGTCCGGAGAATAATGGCGCTTGAGACGAAGCATTTCTAACAAGTCTTTATTCTCTGCTTCCAATCTACGAACAACCCGAGCAGAGGCACGCAGGCCTCTATTTATACCTTCTGATCCCCGGGCAAATCCAACCAATCATAAGGCGGTCTTTTCCCGCCTTGCGCATGCGCGCAAGGCCGGCGCCACTCAGTCTGGTGCCGGGCAGCTTTTGCAAATGCCTGGGACTCTTGCAACGTCCCGAGCCTGCTTTTGCAGTCTCAGGACACAACACAACTGTCAGTGCCATCCACCATAGTCTGCATCTGTATCAGCCTTTGACCCAGTTTGTGAGTAGAAATTGAGTTCCAGGTTCCTGAAATTGTTAGAGGCTTCTGAAACTATCAAGGCTAAGCAATAATTGAAAGTTGTTCATCTCTCTGAGTATTATAGGAATAGAAAACTGCAAATATTAGTAAGAAAGAGGACTTAACTTGAAGATGTTATCAATATTTCTGCTTTCCTGCTCTCTGGCACCTCCATTTCCTGACTTAGCTGAGTTAAAATAAAAGATTCATATCTTTCTGAAAGACAGAGTACAGTTTGTTCTGGCAGCCCATAGTAAGACACATGCTTCCTTTTCAGGGCCACATCTTTTCTTTTTTGGGAAATCATAGGTGTGTTCCACCCAGCATCATGGACTCTGCTACTGCAGACTCAGACGCAAAGTTTTTAAAATAAAAGTATGTAGGTATGTACATATGTTTGTATGTATAGGCATTTTCTCACTGGGCACTCCAAACCTCCAGTTGATCTTTACTATAAACACAACCATATGAGTAGTTAAAATGTGGGTGTTGTCTTGCCTCTTTGTAATACACTTCATCAATTAAGCCTTCCTGAAATTGGACCACTAATGGATCCCTCATTCAGCTTTTAATCTAAGGGCACAGGTATACAGTAGTTCGACACAGACTTGTGCCCCCGTTGTAAACATTGAAGGTCTATCCATATTAGCCTTTGAGGAAGAATCTTCAAACATTCTCATAAGGCCAGTGAAATTTGTTAAATAAGGAAATGCTTATTTAGTTCCCAAACTGGTTAAACTCCCAACCCAAGATCAGTTATTTGGGGATATATCATTTCATATTAGAAATGTAGTAATGTAAATATCCTGGAATCCTTTCCCAATATTTTGTGTGAAAAACTTGGTATTTCAGACAAGTTAGAGAATGAAGCAGGAGGAGTTTAAGCATTAAGCTGACTCAATAGATGCTGCATTGTATGACAAGTGCTGCTGTCCCAAAGAATTTGATTTTCTTGTATTAGATCAGTGGTTTTCAACCTGTGGGTCGGGACCCCATTTGGGGTCGATCGACCATTTCATGGGGGTCGCCAAGCAAGGCTGTCTGCCATTTTTTTTGTCCGCCATTTTTTCCCCCTTTTCCGGCGGGTGCCTTACCTCCCTTGGGCTAGGCCAGCTGGTGGTCGGCCTGCTCCGTCTCTGCCGCTTGCCAGATACGCCTCGGCCAGCGCAGGGGGCGGAACCACGCATGTGCGGTGCTCCCGGGCAGGGAAAGTCCTCGACTTACGACTGGTTGGGTAGTCCTCGACTTACGACCGGTTTAGTCCTCGACTTACGACTGGTTTAGTCCTCGACTTACAACCGGTTGGGGTTGCTGCATTAAAAAGGTTGAGAACCACTGTATTAGATCCAACACACTAACTTTGTGCTTGGCTAAAGAAGTTCTCACATTTTACCAGATTCTGACAGGGTTAAATGGAATAGGTATTCAGTCAGTCAGTATCAAGCCAGGTTGTAAAACTATAAATTAATCAAGAGTTGTTGAATTAGTGTTGAAAAGGTTTAGACAAAAATAGTATTTCAATTCCAGCAAAGAATCAGTGTTTCAAGGAGTGAAATTTTGCAGTAATTAACATCAGCTCAAGTATCAGCAATGCTGAAGAGACTTTGAGCACCAGAGATAAATTTGCTCCAGCTAGGCATGAACTATCTAGGCAACCTTAACACAATCCCTCTATATTCTACGTATATCCAAGTACAGCTAAAAGTGTACAGCTTTGATTTGGTCAAGGTTCATCTCCCTGCATCAGTCTTTTTGAATATTATCTCTCCCTGTGTTTACAGCATTGTCAGAGCTGGCAGAGTTTCTGTCTAGTTCCAGATCTAAAAAAAAATTCTTTTGCAGTCACAAATAGTAAGACTTACATATGCCTTCCAAAGATATATGGGGCTTGACTCTGTCATTTGAAATACCAGATTTCTCAGATGGATTTTCTTGTAGGGATGATGACAGTGGTGGGATTCAGCCAGTTCGCACCACTTCGGCAGCACCGGTAGCTAATTTTTTGTTGCCCAGGCCCAGAATGGACTTCCAGAAGTGGCATCTACACAGAGAACCAGTTATTCACATATTTGAATCCCACCACTGGATGATAATATGTCTGGCTGGAACTGACATTTCAGGTTGTATCTTGCTTTTTCTAGTTGGACTCAGCTTTAGTATAAATAAATTGTTACACTGCCTAGGGTTGACCTGCTTTTCAATATTCTTTAGTCAGACTCTTAACCTGTGAAAATGATACAGAATTTCTCTTTTTCTAGCTTACCACCCTGGCTTTATCTGCAGACTTTTTGATGACATTTTTATTTGCAGGATAGTTCAAAGCAGTGCTTTTTTGTTAGAAAAAAGGTGCCGGAACTCACATCTTGTTAATCTTTTATTTATTTTTCACATGTAGTCAATCATTGTACACACACCCACACATGTCAGTAGTGTAATGAAACATAATGGTCGCTGCCCACAGTAAGCACTCAGCGTGCGACCACACGACCAATCACAAGCCAAGCAGTGCCACAAGCCGAGCAGCCGGACAAAGTACACATGCATTGGACTCGACACACAAGCAGCTTGCATGCACCATTTTAATGATTTTGCTGCCGACCTGCTATGCTTGACAGGGCGATTCAAATCCACATGGACCAAACTTCAAATTTTCAAAAGTTACTTTTAAAACTTGGAAAATCTGTCAAAAAAAGGTGCCGGAACTCTGTTCCAGTGAGTTCTATGACAAAAAAAGCACTGGTTCAAAGCATATCTAGAATCTAGTGCTTAAATATAGCATTTCCTATCCTGCTACTTTCCGGATGTGTTGAATTACAAAGTTTTCATGAGTAGAAGGCGAGGCGCATCAGAAGCAAGTAGGCATAGCCAGTTCAGCTTTGATTCTTTATTATGTATATTACAGTAATCATAAATAGATTTTTAGCAATCCATATCTTATATTGTTTTGAACAATTTCAATTTTCTTCATTAATTATAAACATTTTTGAGAGTTTCTAACCCATGTCTTTTCTGAGTTTTCCAATTAATCTTTTTTCCTTTTACTATTCGCTTTATGGTTGCATTTGTTTTATTGAATGTAGTCTGTCTATAATAGATTTTAAGATGGGCAGTTATACAATAAATTAAATAAATAAATATTATTTGTCAAATGACAAATATAATGCAAACCATCTTGTGGATCAAGTTTCTCCAATTCTGTATTCCCAGATGGGTGAAACTAAAGTTCTAATTAGGCACATTCTATATCCATACTGATTGAAAATATTAGTTGTGCTTTACCCCTTCAGGATAATATTACTTTGAGGAGAAGGCTACTGTAAGCAAGCCATAAGATATAAGCATGCACATATCTGACTCCAAAATATTATCCATTAAGTATAAACTCTCGAGGTAAGAACAATATATCCCTCTAGTATCTGCCTACCCATGATCTCCAAAAAGAAACTATTCACTGTGAAAAAGTGTAAATTCAGTATCTGAAGAAAACTGGCAGGTTTCTGCTGGTAGCAGTCTATATTTCATTATTTAAGGCTTGAAATTGTGCAAGCCTTATCATCTCAAATGCATATAATTAATAAATGGAGAAATTAAATATTTATTTTTATTTCTATTATTCAGCTCCAAATGTGGCCCCTTCTGAGGTTGGAGGAGGAGGTGGAAGCAATAGAGAACTGACTATAACATGGGTGGTAGGTATTATCCAGTGTATTTATTTATATTATAGAAGAATGTTTTAAACTGTCCAGAGTCATTTAGGTGAGATGGTCAGTGTAGACATTAAATAAATAAATAAATAAAAGTTTAATTCTTCTGCTGAAGTAAGTGGGTTTTGTGCATATAAAATAGGTCACTATAGAACGTAGGTTATTATAAATATTACTAAATAATTTGTGTACATACATGATGAGTTTTTATACTCATACTTATTTTTTTTAAGATTTAAAATTCCTTTTCAAAGTGGTCTTAAAGGCTAATCGGAATAAAATGAACAATGGTGATGATATATATTGAATAAATATTGGGTATTTCTTTCTTAAGTCAGAAAATTAAATTAGAATCTACACAAACGTTTAGCAAACGGTGCAGACCAGCTACAATATTGATTGCTAAAAAGTAGAGTCACATTAGAATTTTTCTTGATGAACATTCTATTTGGGTCAGTTAGTTTTTTTTCAGATCACTGTTTAAAGCAGGCATGTCAAACTGCTGGCCCGCAGGCCGGATGCATCACGACGAAACCGCACCCATTCCATTGCTGGCAATGGGGAAAAAGTCGCGATACGTCGCGCAATGTTACATGACATCGCGAGTTTGACATGCCTGGCTTAAAGCATTGCTACTTGGTGTGGGGTCTGAGATCTGAAAAAAGTGCATCACAAAAGATACCACACCTTTTAAACATCAAGTGATTGCTAGAACCTAGCAGATGCTTAAAATAGGCTTGCTTTGATAACATATGAATTCCACCTGACTAAAGGAGTTGCAAATCTAAACAAATATGAAGCAGTGAGAGCAGCAGAGAGATGGCCAAGTGGCAGATAATGTGTATTCTCTCTCACCTAGTACCTTGTTTCCCCTCACTTTAAATCACTTAGACTTTGGTGTCCTTTCTACAACGCCCTAAGATATGCTTTGATTGCACCAATCTTTTCCAACTATGAGGGCCATGCAGATAAATTTTATGTTTATTATTTTTTAAGGGACACCTATTCTTACACATCAGATGGCCAATTTTTTTTTCCAAATCACACAACTGCAGAATTTTTTTAATTAGGCATGCTGCTTTATTGTTCCATTCTCCTCTCTAACAACTAATTGTTGTATTAAACTGCTCTTTCTTTTACTGTGTTTGTTAAATTGTAAATGCTAGTCAAAGCCCGTAATAAAGATTTTTGATTTACAGTTTATTCAGAAAGTATTCAGACCTCCCTTCATTTTGTCAATTTTGTTATGCTGCAGCCTGATTCTACAGTTGTTGAAATTCATTTCTTTTCTCATTAATCTACACTCAGTACCCCATAATAGCAAAGTGAAAACAGAGGTTTAGAAATGTTTGTAACAGGCTGTTAATGTATTAAATGGCTGATTTTTAAGAAATGCCTGAAGATGGCTTTGTTAAATACCAAACACTCTACTAGACATATGCTATATAGAATTTGACCTGGCCTAGTTTTGATGGCAAAGGACTTCAGAGTTGGACAGGCATTTATAATATGTAGCAGAGTTTGATTAAATAATCTTTTAAAACTTTATTGCATTTTATAAGCATATAGCATTTCTAAATGAATCCATTTTCTAATTTAAAAATGATATTGTTACGAATAATTGTAAAACATGACTGCTGAAGGACTGTATAAGACTTAATTGCAAGCCTCTCCCATGTTTGTTTTAGAATTAATATGATTTTTATAAGCTTTCTCAGCAAGCAGGCAAAAAAAGATTGCTTGTTTATATGAGGTCTTCCATGGCTTGCAAGCAGTGATGGGATCAAATATGTGAACTGGTTCTCTGTGTGGATGCCATTTCTGGAAGTCCATTCTGGGCCCAGGCAACAAAAACTTAGCTACCAGTTCTACCAAACTGGTGCAAACTGGCTGAATCCCACCACTGCTTGCAAGCAATAAGGATGTTTTACAAACATAGCTTTTTGATAAAATGAAAGCAAGATCCCCCCACTAAAAATCCTTTATGGTACAGATCCAACATCATGAGCATGAAAAAAATTCTGCTTAGAAAATACAGTCTGTCTTTCCTAAGCAGCACCTGCAAGTATCTTCTTATAAAAAGAGTAATTGACCATTTTATTACTTCCATTATTCAAAGAGGATACTTCTTTTTATCTTTTGCTTTAGCTCTTATGTTTTGCCAGAATAAAAAAAAATACCTGGCATGTCATAAAAATCATAAATATCTTGCAGCTTAGAGTTTACTTCCTGTAATCTCTGAAAATGTCAGTATAATGGAATTAAATGTGACATGACATAATGTTTTATTTTTTTACTCTTTTTATGCATGATCTTACAACTTGAAAAACAAGAATTCAGAGTCTAGCTATTAGATATGCTGCATATATTATTTACATATAACTTACCAAATATGAGTGACATACCACTAATTAGAAAATTGTCATATATTCCATACTGACCCCGAATACTATTCAGTCTTTTTTAAAAAAAAAATTATTGATTTTTAACATAATCACCTTAATATTTGGTAAACAGCGTGTTGTCTGGGTTAGTATTATAAAAACAATCAATAACAATTAATTTCTATAATTCTATAGTCCATATAATGGCTTTACTTGATTTCCTCTTCTTCCAATAATATCCTCTTTTGCCAACCTTAAATTAATACAGTTCTTATTATTTGAATAAATGACAATTAAATATAGACATTTTTCTCATGTTTCTGCAAATAATAACCACATCAATATAAAGCTTCTTTTCTAATTGCCTTGTCATAGATTCTGTTACAGAATTCTTATTTAAATTTGTTTTCCCAAAAATATTCAAAGCATTCTTACTAGTTAAGATTTTCTCAAAATTAGTTACACTTAAGTATTTAAGTCTTTTTTCTCATACAAGCCATCCCAACACTTTTCCATTTCTCATATCTTAAAAAAAGAAAAAAAACAGAGAAAACATTTCTTTTATATAAACTGTTAAGTATTCAGTTCTTGAAGGCATTAAGCGAGATGAGTGTTGAAACAGCAACAAGTTTATTTAACTCTGAACAGAAGCAGCTCAAATAGCTGCTGTGCAGCTATTTATATGGTTAGCCTCCAGGCGGCAGACAATAGGTTTAAAGTAACAGTTTCCTGCCCAAAACCTAATTACCAGCCTGGAGACAGCAAGTCTGGCTTAACTAACAGCAGCCGTTACATAACAACAGAATCTATGTCAGACATTCAAACAAGTGATTAGACATTAAGCAACTGATTCAAAACAGTTGTGACCAATACATTACAACCCTTCCCCCTAGATAGTTCAAACCCTTAATTGTTTGACATAATCTTGCAGATACTTAGGTGGCCTTCTTGACCGTTCAGAACACCTAAGGGTTGCCGGAGTTGCCTGGTCTACCTGCTTGCCTGCCAGGCTGGGTAGGCCAGGACTCAGAGGTTCAGTGGAGTTGGTTTGACTCAAGTCCCTTTGGCTGGCCAGTCCCGGTCGGCCCAAACCAAAGTCCACTCATGCAGCAAAGTCTGCAGGGCTGTCTCTCAGCGCTGTTTGCCTTTCTTGTTCAGCTGATCCAATCTGTGCGTCTGGAGGAGGCTCTACTATGGCCATTCCCCTGTCTCCTTGAGGGAGGGTCCTGTCATAGTGTGCAAACCCTTCTGTTGGACTGCTGTCATGTGTGGTCCCTGTGTGTGGCCCTCTTGGGAGTCCTGAGCCGGTGACTGATCCACCAGCTGCCGATGCAGCTGATCAATGTGCCGGTGAATGACTTGCCCATCTTCAAGGACCACCTCATAGGAAAGTGGCCCAGACACCTTTACAACCACTGCTGCCACCCACAAAGCCCCTTGCCCGTAATTCCGGGTCCAAGCCCAGTCACCCACTTGCAGACTTCTGGGTGCCTTTGGCCGTGCAGAGTCTGATGCAACTCGGTCAGGGTGGAGCCTGTCCAGCTTAGTGATCAAACATCAGCCCCAATGTAGCTCGGCTGGGCTTCTGCCCGTGGCTGTGCAGGGAGTTGTACACTGACAGAATAGAAAGTCGCCAATCTGTGTTGCCAGTTTCCTGTGACAATCAGTTTTAGGGACTCCTTGGTTGTGCGGACCATGCGTTCTGCTTGGCCGTTTGAGGCCAGGTGAAAGGGAGCTGACATGGCGTGCCTTATGAGGTTTGTCCTGAGGAAGGACTGGAATTCTGAACCAGTAAACTGAGCCCCATTGTCTGATACTAAGACGTCTGGAAGCCCGTGTGTTGCAAAGATTCTGCGTAGTTCCTGGATAGTCCTGGCAATAGTCATATTGGGAACTGGTGCAACCTCTAACCATTTTGAATGGCTATCGACTACTATTAAAAACAGTTGTCCTTGAAAGGGCCCGGCAAAGTCAATGTGGATTCGTGACCACGGTGTGTGAGTGTCCTCCCATCGGTGGACAGGGCTTGCGGCATCTCCGGTCTGGACTGTTGACACGTGATGCAACCATGTACTTGGGCCTCGATAGCCTTATCTAGCCCAGGCCACCAAAGGTAGCTCCTCGCGAGTGCCTTCATCCGGACTATTCTTGGATGGCCCTCATGCAGAGACTCAAGCACTCTGGGTCTTAACGAGCTGGGAACAATGACCCTACTTCCAAAGGATGCACCCTTTATGAGCTGAAAGCTCATCTTTACACATGAAAAAGCTCTGAAATTCTGGTCCTGGACATTTGTCTAGCCATCCTGTGTGCACCCAATTCAATACACAACTCAGTATTTTGTCAGCTGCCGTCTCAGCAGCTACATCCCCAGCATGAAGGGGAGACTCTGGCAGATCCTGGATAGCCAGGATGCGTGCAGCTGGAGCTGGAGCTGGCTCTACATATGGTAGGGGCAACCTACTAAGGCTGTCTGCATGGCCCATTTCTTTGCCCGGTTTGTGAACCAGCCTGTAGTTGTAGGCTGTCAGAAAAATAGACCACCTCAAAATTCGAGGTGACAGAATCTGGGGTGTCTGTTTGTTCATAGTGAACAACCTT